CTGTACAATATAGGGATATGACATTGACTAGAACTACAGAGAAAAAGATTAGAACTGTATATTTCAGATGATTGCAAAATATATAAACACTATATGGCCTGGCAGTTATGAACGAGAATAGAATCCTGGGATGACATCACTAGAAGAATCACCAGCAAGAAGGAGGTCCCGACTCCTATTTATGCGACAGTGCTGTGCCCTGCCATGGGATAAAAAAGAGGTCTTGACCCATGATTGTCATCCAGACAATTTGAGGGGTTCCAGGGGGTTTGCTTAATCCAGAGGAAACGTTTGTTTCAGTTTACCCATCAGTTGGTAAAACCCGGTTTGGGACCTGGAGCTCAGAGATTTCTTAGAGAATTGGGGGGGATAAAATCTGCAGTCATGGGTCAGTGTTTTGTGAATAACCGGCACACTGATTATGCAGGTGAGCACTGGGTTTTTTGTAAAATCAGGACTAAGATTCTGGGCACCATCCCAGCAGACAGAAGAGGTCACTGCCAGGAGTCAGGAGGGCTCCACCTAGGAGAAACAGATGACAGACAGAGCTGAAAGATGCTGCACGTTACATGCACAGGATTGTGTATTAACACTGTGTGTAGGAGGCAAAGGGCCTAAAGGGTAAGGCCAGAGAAAGAGTGCTGCATGTATAAGCCTGGAGGCTAAATGTGTATTTCTTTAGATGGAAGATAAATGCTGAAAACCCCTGAATTTTGAATACAGCTTCCAGCCCTTGACACCTTACTTACAAAACAATATTGATAAGATACAATGTAGAACAAGTTCAGAGATGAGCAAAAAAAAAGGTGAGGATGCAGGAATCTAGGTTTGTACAGTCCTGAGGAAAAAAAGAGGAATGGGGGACATGGCTGAAACTTTTAAATACATTAGGTGCTTCGGAGAAACACAGATCGATACTTAAGACAAAAGGTAAAAAATGTAAACAAAAAGACAAAAATAAAAAAGTTAGACTTGATGGACCACTTTTTTTTCTGCCATCACTCTTCCTTGAAATTCATCTGTGTACTTCGTCGTTTGCCTGGAGTTCAGCTTTAGGTTGAGAGACATGAAAACACTTTTGCCAGAGAGTTTATGACTTTTACAAGATCAGAATCTATTGGTGTTATTGTTGAATATGGCAAGTCTGGCTTTTTTTCTTTTTAAATCACTCGTATGTATTTACTGAGGAAGTTGCATATCTTCCTTAAGAGTATATTCTGACTAAGACGTAGACTAATAAGAAACAGTAAACCTTTTAAAAAGCTGATTTTAAAATGATTTTATTAAATCACTACATATATTCCAATAACCAATAATTGTCACGCATAAAAGGCACACCCGTAATTTAAAATGATTGCTCACACCCTCTTAAATTGATTTACCATTGTATTCTTTAACAGAAAGATATGTTCTAGTTGATTTACAGCATTGAAGGCATATTCTTTTCCAAGTCAGTCTTCCATAGCTTAGAAAGCAAGTTCAAATTTGAGAGCACAAGAATTCAGACATTCTTTATTTACAGGATTCAGCTTCACATTCACACTTGATAGCTTGGGCATATTATTCAGCTCATCCACAGGGATATCTGTAGAAAAGAAAAACAATCATTTTTATAATTGCTCTTTGCATTTGTGGCTTCATAAAATGCTACCACATTGTTATTATAGTTTAATAGTATTTTAAGAAGGATTGGTCAGATGTGTAAAAAAAATATATGCACACAGCACCTATGCGTGCATCGGCAATATGAAGTTGACGTTCTAGGCACCTTGTAGTTCTCTCTTGAATAATGCCCCTCTACTTATTTTTTTAACTTGGATCTGTTTGCTTCTCATTATCCCTTTATAGACATTTCCTTCAACTATGAAGTTATACAGGGTGGCATCCACATACATAATGTGCACTTGAACAAAATATTTTCTGTGCCAGCCTTCTTAGAAAAGTGTTTAAAAGACTACGAGTGCCCTATGAAAAGTCTGAATTAATTCTGTGATATTCAAGCCCTACGCATTAGGGCTGGTTTTAGGTAATTTAAAATGAATCTGCCTGATTTTAGTTGTATTGCCCTGGCGCCATACAGAGCATAATGCAGATTGAAATTTCTTAATATCATCAAGGCTAGGTAATGCCCACATAAGCTTTTGAGCGTGACCAATCCTTTTAAGTGTAAAAACATTAATGCACATTTGTTTCAGAGTTACAAAAATTATGTAAAGGTTTATGTTCATGAATAATGAATGTAAAATGTTATGTTCCTTAAGTAGCCTTTCTCCTTTTTATCAATACATCCATACCATGCCACAAATAAAAAATTGGCAAATAGATTTTTTTTTCTGCCACAGATACAAAATTTAAAGTTTAAACCCAAAATTTATTTTCAGAGTGTTTAGCATCATATTTTTACTTTATTACAGTTTTCTTAAATGGATGATACCCGCATTACACAGTTACAATGTCATGGAGGTGGGCCTTCTTTCGAGGTGCCACATATATTTACACCAATGTTTATGCTGGAAATGTACTCCAAGCACAAAGACCAAGCAGTTATGGACCCCTCTGGGTCTCATACTAAGTCTCCCAATTACATGACTCACTGTGATACCCTGTAATTGCCTGTCACAATAATTACTCTGTAAAACCCGCCCCTTTACTCTTTGTCCTTCTGAATTGAGGGGAAAAAAAAAGATATATTGTATCTTTTTCTCCTAGTCAGAGGATAAAACTATACAAGAAAAGAAGCAAGTCTGTGTGAAAAAAATAATACCATACAGATAAACTAGCTAGATTAGGGTCTGATCTAGATCAGCATGTATTAAGTAAGATTAAAAAACAGCTTTAGTGTCAATGTGTTTTAGGCTTTTCTGCGAGTACAAACAACAAATATACACATATAAGTAAGTATCTATCTATATAAAAAGGTCAGGCGTAAGAGAATTTTTTGTGTGTATTTTCAGTAGAGGGTCATGGTAATTTTTTATTTTGGGGGAATCTGTGTCCCATTGTCGAGATTTCCCTTCACTTCCTGTTCCATAACCAAAACAAGAAATAGGAGGAAATCCCTCCAAATGGAGAGATTGCGAGTGTGTCATCACGGTCACCAGAATTAGTGCCACCATTGGAAGATATCCCCTCTATTATTATTATTACTATTATTATTATACAGGATTTATATAGTGCCTACAGTTTGCGCAGCGCTTTACAAAATAAAGGTAGACATTACAATACAATTTGGTACAATAGGAAACAGAGGGTCCTGCTCATTAGAGCTTACAGTCTAAGAGGAAGAGTTGAGTGATACAAAAAGGTAACAGCTGTGGGAGATTAGCTGATGGAGGAAGTAAAAAGCAGGTTACTAGTTAGAAACAGGATAGGCTTCTTTAAAGAGAAGGATTTTCAGGAATTGTCTGAAGGTGGATAGATTAGGAGATAGTCAGATTGGGGTAGGGAGTTCCATAGGATGGGAGAAGCTCGGGAGAAGTCCTGGAGGCGAGCAGAGGAGGAGAAGGTTTTGGGAGGATCGAAGAGAGCGGTTTGGTTGATATTTTGAGACCAGGTTGGTGTTGTAGCTGAAGGAAGAGTTGTGGATAGCTTTGTAGGTTGTTGTCAGTATTTTGAATTTTATTCATTTGGTGAGTGGAAGCCAGTGGATAGATTGGCAGAGAGGGGTAGCAGACACTGAATGGTTGGTAAGGTGGATGAGCCTGGCAGCAGCATTCTTGATGGACTGAAAGGGGGATAGCCTATGTAAAGGTAAGCCAATGATGAGGGAGTTGCAGTAGTCGAAGCGAGAGATAACCAGTGAGTGAAGTAGAAGCTTTGTTGTATCATTGGTTAAAAAGAATCCAGTGTTACCCCTAGCACCCTGGCATGCGGGGATGAGTTGATAGTTGTCCTATTGATCAGGGGAAGAGGCAGGTGGGGGAGGAAATATTAAGAGCTCAGTTTTGGATAGATTGAGTTTTAGGAAGTGGTGTGACATCCAGTTTGATATGTATGTTAGTAAATTAGCGATACGTGAGGAAACTGATGGGGTGAGCTGAAGAGTAGATTTGTCCATCATCAGCATAGAAATGGTATTGGGAACCATGGGAAGTTATCAGCTGACCCAGGGAAGAAGTGTAAATCCAGAATAGGAGAGGTCCAAGGACAGGACCTTGGGGACCCCAACGGTAAAGCTACGTTCACACTAGCGTTGTGTGCAGGCGGCAGAGAGGCGTTTGGGAAGCGTTTTTACCGCTTCCCAAACGCCTCTTACAATTCTGCACATTGTGCTGTTCTAACGGGAGCATTAGCGTCACGACAAAACGGACTCCTCTGGACAAGTCAGGAGGCGTTGAAGCCTCCTATTCTAGTCTATGTGCCGGCCGGGCGTTTGCGGTGCGGTTGCGACGAGGGGCATTTGTGGAGCGGTAACACCATTCAAACTTCATTATAGGCATTTGTGGGGCATTTTTAATGCTCGGCAAATGCCTAGCAACCACTGCTAAACCGCGCATGCGGTGTTTGCGGAGCGTTAAAAACCGCTCTGCAATCGCCGGCCCAACGATTGCCAAACGCTATAGGGGCGTTTGGCAAGTGTGGGTAAAACAGTCAAGTGTGAACGAGCCCTAAGAGAAGTAGGAGAGTAGTAAGCAGAGTTGTAAATGACACTGAAGGTTTTTCAAACTCAGTGATTCTGTTGTTTTTTATTTTTTTCTGACATGGTGGTATATCACTTGGATGTTTTAAGTTGCATTGAGTAAATACAGCTGGATAAAACAAAAACTGTGTCTTGATTTCAGGCTGCAAAGCAACAAAATTTTATTATTTTAACCACCTTCTGCCTGCCATATAGTACAATGACGGGCGCAAGGTGGTTCTCTCTCGTTCTGATAGGACGTCCTTCCATTCTCACCGCGCATGCGCGGCTCAGAGAGCGCGCAGCGTGGCGATCGCCGGTGCGCTGTGTCCCTCAGACACAGCAGATCACGGAAAGAGCTGAAGATGTCGGCTTGGTCATGTGATCAGCTGTGTCCAATCACAGCTGCTCACATGTAAACACGGAAATGTCGGTTATCGGCATTTCTCTCCTCTCGAGCTGTCACGCTGAGAGTCGGTAATCGGCTTTCCGCGGAGGGGACATGTACACTGATCATCAGGGCACTGATGATCAGTGTGCCCTGATGATCAGTGTAGCCCCAGAAGTGCCACCTGTCAGTGTCCATCAGTGCCAGCAGTCAGTGCTCATCAGTGCCACGTGCCAGTGCCCATCAGTGCCACATCAATGCCACATATCAGTGCCCATCTGAGCTGCCTTTCAATGTCACCCATCAGTGCCAGTCAGTGCCACCTATCAATGCCAATCATCTATCAGTGCCACCTATCAGTGCCAGTCAGTGTCGCCTAACAGTGCCAGTCAGTGCCGCCTAACAGTGCCAGTCAGTGTCGCCTAACAGTGCCGCCTATCAGTGCCATATATCAGTGTCCTGTATCAGTGCTGCCTTTCAGTGCCCATCAGTGATGCCTGTCAATGCCCATCAGTGCAACCTACCAGTGCCTCCTCATCAGTGCCACCAATCAGTGTCCATCAGTGCAGCCTATCAGTGCCCATCACTGCAGCCTCATTAGCGCACATCAGTGAAGGAGAAAAATCACTTATTTACAAAAATTGTATAACAAAAACTAAGAAAAAACTTTTTTTAAAAAATTTTCAGTGGTTTTTGGTTTAAGAAAAAATAAAAATCCCAGAGGTGATTAAATACCACCAAAATAAAGCTCTGTCTCAAAAAAATGATAAAAATTTCATATGGGTACAGTGTTGCATGACCGCGCAATTGTCATTCAAAGTGTGACAGCGCTGAAAGCTGGAAATTGGCCTGGGCAGGAAGGGGGTATAAGTGCCCTGTAGGCAAGTGGTTAAACAGGGGTAATCCTTTTCTATATCCACTGTATTTGCTTCATTAAGGTTTCAAATAACCCTTTGACTGTTAATTACTGTACGTGTCCTACATGTGAACTTGCTTGTTTTTTTTATGGCTTTTGAGCTTTAGTTAAAAGTGACGTAGGCTGCTGTAAAATGTCTTGATCACTTTTACTGCAGTCTCAATGCGTGTTGTGTTTGTGTGGACTTTAATTTTAAGTGCATTTTTCACTAAAAATATAGGTGTAAAAAACAGTTGCACAAATATTTTGTGACATAAAAACTTGGAAGTACCATCTTTTTATTATGTTCTCAGAAAATATAATGTCTGTCCCTCTCTCCCCAGGGGGCGCGCACCCGGCGATCTCCGTGATCGCTGTGTCCTACGGATCCAATGACACGCTGATCACAGGGAAATGCAAGTGCCGGTTCTCGGCTGCACTTTCCTCACGCTGTCAGATCGTGAGGAAAGTACTGCCGAGAACCGGCAGTTGTCAGAGCGGGGATCGGCGTCATATGACGTCCACCCAGAACTGGCCGGCCGCGGTGAAGCCGTCATTCGGCTATGCGCGGTCGGCAAGAGGTTAATAAAGATTTGGAACTGCCACCATTTAATTCTCCAGAGTCTCTGCATACAGAAAATATATATTGTTTGGGTGTTTTAACTTATCTTCAGACTTAAAGTTATTATTTTTAAGTGTGCAGAATTTGTATTGAATTTGTAATTAATAAAACGCATTTAGCGATTTTAATCATCACACAGCTGAGGATAACATATGATTGCATTTCGGGTGAATGCTTAATCATATAATCTTTTATTTAGTAAGTCAGGGACATACAGGGGGTTATAACACAGTACGCATTTCATGCTGTATAGAACTCATTCATAGAGTATATTCACGAGACAGAGCTTTCATTTAAAATAGATATGTTAACCAAATGGATTTCATTTTACAGCTGTCACATAATAAAGCTAGTAACAATGCCTTAAACCCTTTAAGCACCTGCAGTGACAACACACAGATGTCCATATCTATATGTAAATAAAAAAAAAACCAAACATTTGAAAACATTTTAAGTTACTCTGAAGAAGTCACGTGACCTGTGATGCAACATGTCAGGTGGAGCCTAGTGATGACACTTCTGGTCATGCTCAAACTGGCACGAGTGATCTGAGGAACCATTTTGATTAATGGCTATGATATGCTTTTGATTCATTACTTTTGTACTTATTTTGTACTAAAGCCCGTTGTCAGCTGATGTCACAGAGCCGGTCCAAGCTGGGGAAAGATTGTGACCCAGGAGTCTGGACTGACACCTGACTCAGGCTCTTAGCGAGCCACTGAAAGCCTAAACCAGCTGTTCAAGCCCCTTCCACAATCCAGGATTTGAAAGCGCTGGGGGGGGGGGGGGGGGCATGGCAGACAGCGGTTTACATTACACAGGCACAATAAATTAAGCAATCTTCTCTCCCTGGAGCACATTCCTTTCCAGAGAGAGAAGAAAGCACTGCTAGGTCACATTTAACCCCCTGATAGCCCCCCAGTTAACCCTTTCACTGCCCTGTTACCAGTGGCATTAGTACAGTGTACAGATTTTTTTTTTTTACTGATCACTGTATTAGCATCACAGACGACTTCAGATAACGCTAGCATCAGTTATCATCCCTCTCAGATAGTGTCAGATTGCCTGCCACTACATCATTCATCACATTTAACCCTTTTATTGCCAGAAACAAGCTCAGATACACAATAAACCTCCATTGCTTGTATAGTGTCTGAACGGATCAATATCTTTGATTAGATCAGAACTGTACCAGCATTCACAATAGTATAGTGTCCCCAAAACCGCAGCGTTCACAGGATCAGCCCCGACACCTGCCAGCACCTGCGTTTAGCCCCCACTCTTAACCCTCCTGCCCCTTCCCCCTAGCAATTGCAGCATCAGTAGATCACTGTCACTTGATACATCACACACAAAACTGCAGGATTAGCAAGATCAGGCCTGATCTCTGCAAGCACTAGCAGGTAATTTTTTTTGTAGCAGTTCAAGCAGTCCCTGACAGCCAGGTGCTATTTTTCCCGTGAGTCACACTAGGTACCTATATATTTAGTGGCCAAAATGTCCAGCGAAAGGTACACTAGTGAAGAAGCCTACAGGATTCTGAGTATGTCAGATGAGAGCACAGGGTAAGCCTCACTGACAGAATCTGCCTCAGAACACGAACCTTTACAAAGCAGCGGCACCCTGAAAATAGCACAGATGATGGAGTAGATGTCCCAGCTAAGGTCAGGCATACCCAACCCCAATCCTAGGTGGCTGAGGTGTTAGAATTGCATGATAATTCTCATATACAGCAGGGTGCCAGTACTAGTGCCACGCTACATATTGGTGAACTGGCGAGCACCAGCAACCTAGTAAATCCTGGTCTTTTACATACCAGCACTGAAGTATCACTTGGTGACGTGGCGAGTCCCATAGGTGCAGTACAAGCTGGTGCAGTGGCTAACACAAGTAGTGGCCTGCAGCCACCAAAAATTCAAACACAGGCCCGTAGAGCCCATAGCGTTGTTCCGAAATCCTGATTGGCAGCCCACAAATTCTGCAGCACCCGTATTTCCCCATTCACTGCCCAGCCCAGAATTCAGGAGGAAACAGCAAATTTAACTACTCCCCTTGATTTTTTTGGAGCTGTTTTTTTTTATGAAAGATCTGTATGGATTGATTGTGGATCAAAGAAATGTATACACATGACAATTTATTGCCGCCAACCCAAATTGAAACCTTGCTAGACCATTTGCATGGAAACCTATTACAGTTTCTGAATTAAAAGTTTTTTTGGGCCTAACCCTCAACATAGGCATTACTAAAAAGAAAAAGTCATGTTCATATTGGGCCATAGACCTGATTAATAATTTTCCCATGTTCTCTGCTGCCATGGCCAGGCATAGATATGAGAATATAATGTGATTTATGCATTTCAATGACAATACACCCTGCTCGGGGTGACCATGAATATGATAGGCTCCACAAAATTTGTCCAACTTGTAAATCACCTTAATTAGAAATTTGCATTTTTGTATACGCCCCAGTAAAACATCTGCGTTGATGAGTCCTTCATTCATTTTTCTGCCCACCTTGCATTCAAACAATTTCTCCTCAGCAAGTGTGGCAGATATGGGATCAAAATGTATACGACCTGTGAAAGGGCAACAAATTATTTTAAACCGCTTAAGAACCACCCTACAGCAGAGATATACTGCTACAGGGCGGCACCTGTGTGCAGAATCATGTATATATACGGCAGTTTGCATTTCCGGGTAGGGGGCGCGCGCGCCCTATTTGCGCCGCCAGTCATGGCCGTGGATGTTAATCACCGGGTCCCGGCCGGTAATTACCCACAGGTGCCCGGCAATTACCGAGCATCTCCGACGGGGAGGAAGAATGTTTTGTTTACAAACAATTTTTCTCCCTGTCAGCTCAAGCACACTGCACAGCACAGCCATCCTGATCAGTGTGCTTACAGTGAAGAACACACCCCCCACCTAATCACCGGGGATTCTCCTAACGGCTTGTAAATACCTGATTTAGAAAAGGGGAGAAAGCCTGCTTGAGAAATGATGAATTGCTCGCAGTGAAGTGGAAGGAAAGGCATATCTGCAAAATACTCACCGTACCTCTTATTAAATTCCTTGGGGTGTCTACTTTCCAAAAAAGGGGTGATTTGGGGGGGGGGATTCAGCTATCCTGGAATTTCAGAGCCTCTGAAACTGTAATAGGTAGTGAAATAAAGAATTTACACACCATCAGGCTTTCAAAGGGGTCATTGGATTTTGGGTTCCTGTCTGCAGCTAGGCTCCCAAAACATTTCAGCCATGTGGTATCCCCATACTCAGGAGAAGTAGAAGAATATATTTTGTGGTGTAATTCCAAATAGAACTATGGCATGTATAAGCAATATACCATTTAAATGACAAAAGAAAACTTTTTTTGTCATTTTCCAAAAACGTGTGGAAAAAAAAAATCTTCCATGGACTCAACATGTCTCTCAGCAAATAGCTTAGGGTGTCTACTTTCCGAAAAGCGGTCATTTGGGGGGTGTTTGTACTGCCCTGGCATTTTTGCACCTCAAGAAATGTGATAAACAGTCAGAAAGTAAAAGCTGTGTAAATTACCATACCATGGTTTGTAGATGCTATAACTTTCACATAAACCAATTAATATACACTTACTGGGATTTTTTTTTTACCAAAGATATGTAGCAAAATACATTTGGCCTAAATTTGATGAAATTTTAGTTTATTGGATATTTTTTTATAACAGAAATGGGAAATATCCTTTTTTTCAAAATTTTTGGTCTTTTTTTTGTTTATGGCGCAAAAAATAAAAAACCTAAAAGGTGATCAAATACCACCAAAAGAAAGCTCTATTTGTGTGGAAAAAAAGGCATCGTTGGGTACAGCGCTTTATGACCGAGCAATTACCAGGTGACATAGCACAGCTCTGAATAGCAAAAAATGGCCTG